GTTGTGTGCCTTCAAGTCATTTCTGATTTATGGCAACCCTAAGGCAAACTTACCATGGGATTTTCCTGGCAAGTTCCTACAGAGGGGGTTGGCCATGGCCATCCCTTGAAGCTGAGAGAGTATGACTCGTCCAAGGTCACCCAGTGGGTTACCATGGCCGAACCGGGATTTGAACCCTGGTCTCACAGTGTCCTAGTCCAGTGCTTGAACCATTCCACCATCCTATAGCCAAGGTTATTAATGAGGAAGAACACACAAGCTGAAAGAGGCTGCAGCAGTTTGCATTTGCCTGAGCCTGGGAAGGGCAAGATTCTGTCCCTTCCTCTTCCCCCTGCTGAGTTAACTGGGTGCAAACTTGAGCTCAGTGTTCAGCAGTTGAAGTAAGCTGAGAACAAGGAGTGCAAGTGGGAGGAGGAGAGAGAAACTGGGACATTTTAAAAGCATCTGAAAAAGTGGGATGGCTGGATTAATTAGTACATTAGACTTAAGGGCCGGGGGACTTCAGCTCCCAGAAGCCTCAGCCATGTTGGCCAATAGCTCCTGAGATTCTGGGAGCTGAAGTCCCTCGGCCCTTAAAGGGGAAAGGTTGCCTACCCCTGCCTTTAAGACTAACTGGAAGAAAGAAATTGGCACCTTGAGCTTTCATATACTTCAATCTACTTCCTCAGATGCATTTGCTGGAATGGAAGCAGGGACAGACATATATGCCATTGGTCTATCTATCTATCTATCTATCTATCTATCTATCTATCTATCTATCTATCGATCGATCCATACATACATATACATATATATATATATACATCTGAGGAAGTAGACTGAAGTCTAGGAAAGCTCATGTTGCCAACTTCTTTCTTTAGTTAGTCTCAAAGGTGCTACAGGATCTATCTACAGACTGATTCCACAGACTAACACGGCTATATCTTTGTATTCTACATTTAGATGTGTGTAGTCTGGGTTGAAGAGGTTTCCCCACCCTGGGTGCAAACAAGTCTTCCTTTTGTTCAGCTTGAAAACACATCTAGCAACCAACTCTCTGTGGTTAGAGAGGAAATCCAGTCTCACAAGTTTGTAGGTATCTACCTTTGCATTTTGAGTCAAACTTCCTTTTCTCTCAACTCAGATGCCTCTGTTGTGTTGAGGGCACAAGTGCTGTATGCAAAAGTGGTGGTGGAGATGAATAAACCCATTAAAATGGTGTGTGCAAACAGCTACTGAAAGCATTTTAAAAAAAATAGAGAGATAGCTGTTTGTCATGTTAGTCTGTTTCAGTATAAACGGAAGGGAGGAGGGAATCTTGTGGCATTTTTAAGATCAAGTGATCCATTTAAAGTAATGCACCCATTTGTAATCTGCTGTGACTGTCTCCAGTTTGGGGGAAACGGCAGAATATAAATTATAGCCTGAGCTTTTGTCAGAATCCAAAAACATAGCCGTATTAGTCTGGAAAATCCGTATGCAAAGGGATCTTGTAGCACCTTTCAGACTAACTGAAACAAAAGAAGCCTCTTTCAGTTACTGTAATCTCAAAAATGCTACTAGATCCCTTTGCATACTGAGCATTTGTCAGTGACAGTTTATGTATGTATTTAAAATATTTCTATCTTGCCCTATATCAAAAATATCTCAGGTCCACGTACAAGTAAAATTCAAGCAAACAGGTTAAAATGGTTTTAGACAAATTTAAAAATTAAATAAATAAATAAATAAAGTTGTTGTTGTTGTTGTTGTTGTTGTTATTAAAGTTTATTTATATAGTGCCGTATGTTTTACACAGCGCTTTACAAAGTCATACCAAAATGCAGGTAAAAACCTGCCTACGACATACAATCTAAAATCAAAAAGCGGCAAAATATAAACTAACAACTTATTAAAATTAATAATTATCGAAACATAGATGATAAAACAATGCAGACTAATGCACATTATCTAAGTGTCAGAAATAAGGTTATAAGCAGGAAAGCTGTGTGTGCCTTCAAGTTGTTTCTGACTTCTCGGGCAACCAAGTCGAGAACCTATCATGGGTTTTTCTTGGCAAGACTGGTTCAAAGTAGGTTTGCCATGGCCTTCCCCTGAGGCTGAGAGAGTGTGACTTGCCCAAGGTTGCCCAATGGGTTTCCATGGCCAAGGTGGGATTTGAACCCTGGTCTCCAGAGTCATAATGCAATGCTCAAACCATTACTGCATGCTGGCTCTCAAGTGTAATTATAGAAAATATAAAAATATATTGCAAGATGAAATAGTGCATAAAATCCCCAAAAGGCTTTTTAATTGATTTGCAACAAGCATCGCCGGTCCCTTCCTTTCTCTCTGCTGCCCCCTGGCGGCGAGTCACGGCGGAGCGCCACACACGTGATTTCTAGGAAAAGGAACGAAGGAGTGAAGAAATGGTCAAAGGAGGAGGAGAGAAAGGAAGAGTGGAGCAGCTGAAGCCGGGGAGGAGTGGCATCCCTGGGCAAAGGCAGAGGCGAGCAGCTGGAGGAAAGCCACGGGTGCCAAAGGTGACACTTTTATTATGATTTTGCTTTTTCCTGGATTCATATATTGCTTTCTGCCAGATTTTCTTTTTCTTTTTCTTGCAACTTCTCTTCCCTTCCCTTCCTTCTTTCCTTCCTTCCTTCCTTCTACGACTTCTTTACTTACTTTCAGCTGAGTCCTTTAGAGTTCAGTCAGTTCAGTAAAGATTTACTCTCAGGTAAACAACAAAGTTGTTGTTATTGTATTTGTTGTTGTATTTGTTGTTGTTGTTATATTCATTTATTCCAATAATGGGACACAAGGCAGCTGGCAACATTTTGAAACCAATACAGGTTAAAAAACATTACAAAAGTTCAATGGAAATGTAGAATACACACTATGTAGAATATACATTATGTAGGAAATGTAGAACCATATACTAAAAGAATTAAAAATATCTTGAAATGCATTAAAAATTTTACATTATCACAGCATGAGCTTTGGTAGATGACAGGCTGCACTTGTGTGTATGCTATATGTTTATATGTTTTAAAAGAATCCGGATTAAAAACATGACAAAAGTTAAATGGAAATGCAAAATATACAATTAAACAGCCATATGTTAAAACAATTTTAAAAGTTATTGAAATGCAATAAAAACTTCAAGTGATCGCAGCACTATCTTTGGTAGACTTGATTGTATTCCTGAAGTGTGTATATGTTTAAAAAGAATCCAGATTAAAAACACTACAAAAGTTAAAAGATGTAAAATATACAATTAAACAATCCTATATTAAAACAGTTTAAAAAGTATTGAAATGTAATTAAAGACTTCAGATTGTCACAGCATGAGCTTTGCTAGATCACATGCCTGAAGTGTATATATTATATGTAGTATATTATATTATATGAAGTATACAATATTTACAGGTTGAGTCTCCCTTATGTGGAAAAATACGCAAAAATTGAGAGAGGGACACCTTTGCTTTCTGATGGTTCAAAGGGCACAAACTTTTGTTTCAAGCTCAAAATTACTTAAAATATTGTGTATAAAGTTATCTTCAGTCTATGTGTGTGAGGTGTATACGAAACATAAATGAGTTTCATGCTTAGATTTGGCAGGAAATCTCCAAGATACCTCAATATGTATATGCGGGTATTCCAAAATCCGAACAAAAATCCAAATACTTCTGGTCCCAGGCATTTCGGGTTAGAGAGACTCAAGCTGTAATGGTGCATTCCTTTCAAGTATATTTGTTTATAATATAATATACCTGAAATAAATATATTAAAATATGTGTATAGCATGCTATGTATCAGATGCTTGAAATTCTAGGTAACACTTAATGTTGTTGTCCCCTTCAAGTCATTTCCGACTTATGACGACCATAAGGTGAGCCCACCACAAAGTTTTCTGTGGCTGAGAGTGTGTGACTTGCCCCATAGGTGTCTATGGCCAAGTGGGAATTCGAACCCAGGTCTTCTGAGTCATAGTTTAACCACTACACCACACTGGCTTCATACCTTAGAAATGAAGTGGGTGGTTGTCCTCAAATGCATACAGCACAATATTTTTTCCTATTTTCCCAGTGTTGCAGCAGCCATCTGCCCCAGACTAATAGTAGCCCTTTGGCTAGTAGTTTTTTCCTTTGAAAACAGTTACTTTTGGCAAATGATGTCTACTGATTTCAGATGACAGGAGATACTTACTGGCCAGGGCACTCTCTTTGCAACAGATAACAGCAAAGAAATAATTTTGTAGCACCATCCAAACCTAAACATTTAAAAAAGAACATACACATATATATTAGGCAACAATATATATTTGTTTTTAAGGTGGCACAAGACTCCTTGTTGTTTTAATCCTAATTTTCATGCATTGGCCAGACTCCAATGCAAGTTGCTCCCGAATTAGACAATACTTTGTTTTATTCGGTTGCGATACACTTGAATCCCGTGTTGAAAGACAAATGGGATATAAAATAAATAAATGATTAATTTAAATGTACCCATTCAATTAATAGCAATTTGTTAATCTTCACTTGGTTGCATTAAAAAAGCCATCGAGACGGATCTCTTCCGGCAGGCGTTCCCAGAATGATATTTCCCATAATCTCTCCCCCGCCATTAGATCACTCCTTTATAATCAGAGTGCCCTGTTTTATAGTATTGAATTTGTAATTTTGTTTTAAGTTAAATTTTAATGTTGTTATGAATTTAATATATTTTTAGGGGGTGTGTGAATGTTCTTTGTATTGTATGGGATTGTGCTTTTAGATTGTAAGCCGCCTTGATAGCCTTGGCTAAAGGTGGGATATAAATAAATTATTATTATTATTATTATTATTATTGTTATTATTATTAGTGATTCGGTGGGTTTATTGTTGTTCAGTGCCTTCACATCATTTCTGACTTATGAGGGCTCTAAAGCAAAGCTATCATGTGGGTTTTTTGGGGTGAGATGTGTTCAGAGGGTGTTTGCCTTTGTCTTCTTCTGAGGCTGAGAGGGTGTGACTCGCCCAAGGGCACCCAGAGGGTTTCTGTGGCCGAGCAGGGATTCGAACCTTGGTCTCCCAATGTCCTAGTCGAACATTGAAACCACTACACTATACTGGCTCTCGGGTTCATTGTACTTGGGAAGAATAACTGGATTTAGATAATTGAATCTCTTTTGCTGATGTCTCTTCAACTTACTTTCTCTCCCCAATTTTTCCTGACTCCCCTTTTTCTAAATTCCTCCTCTTGTGTCCTCATATTTCTTGGCTCCCTCTGATCCCCTCTTAAAATGGCCATAGGTCTTTCACTTTTCTATCACAGGGTTGGGCATCTTGTATCTGCCCAAATGTTGTTGGACTCTAGCTCCCAGCATCCTTTACCATAGGTTTTGCTGGCTGGGGCTGATGAGAGTTGCAGTCCAAGACTATCTGGAAGGCTGCACGGTTCCAACCTTTAGGCTACCCTTCCCCAAGTTACAGGTATACCTCAGATCTTTTCATGGACTGTATTTCCACATGGTAGCAATTGTGCAGTTTGATGGCTCCATCCTACAGAATCCTGGGATTTGTAGTTTGGTGAGGCACCAGCACTCTTTGGGAGAGAAAGCAACAACCTCGTAAAACTACAAATCCCAGGCATAGGATGGAGCTACACCACTTCAAATGGTATCGAAGTGCATTATTTCTACAGTGCAGATGCCCCTTTCCTTTTCCAGAAACTTTGCTCCCAGATGTAGAAATAAAATGAAAAGAATAAGGATAGGTTCCTGCACCCAGGGTGACCAGATGCCATAAAGGCAAAGGAGGACAAGCCACTGTAAAATGTAGGACATTCAAGAAAAAAATGTAGGGCATGCCCAAATAAAAGCTCATAGAAATATAAATTGATGCTTTGGAGTCATGCTCAAAATGGAGGACACATTGGGATTCCTCCCAGACTGAAGGTTGAAATGTAGGGTGTGTCCTGGAAAAGGAGGACACCTGGTCACTCTGCCTGCACTCCTCCAAAAAAAAAAAAAAAAAGAGAAATTTCAACATATTTTAGCAAAAAATTCATTTGAAAGTAACAATACGCACAAGTGGAATGAAACCTCCAGGTCAAGGGAAGCCTTGGATAAGTTTAAAAAAGAAGAAGAAGGCATTTTGAGGCTTCCGGAGATGACTTCAAGCCTTCTTCCAAAATGCAATTAGGGACAACATTTTCTTTCATTGTACTTGGGAAGAATAACTGGATTTATATATCAGTGGCCACATTTACAGCTCTGTGCTTTTATCTTTTAACCTGCTGGGCGTTCTCTTTTAACCAACTTTCCTGCTCTTCCCTTATCTCTGTTTTGCTCTTTGCCCATACTTTGGACATTGGAGGCGGCTCCTGTTTATCTTGCAAACACAAATGGCTAGTTTTGGATTGGCTAGATTAGAATCCAACCCTGTCTTAACCCTGGCTTTTATTGTGCTGTCTACTGTACTCCTGTACTCTTGATGTTGCAACCTGGCATCGAAAGTCTGTTTTTCTTTAGCTCCCCCCTTCATAATCCTGATGCTGCCAAAAAGCTTCCGTCTAGATTAGAGGAGAAGGAAGGGCTGGGAATTCTTTAAAAGGCTTATGTCCAATCCACGCTGCAGAAATAATCCAGTCGGAGACTGCTTTAACTGCTCTGGCTCCATCCAGTCCAACCCCCTGCCATGCAGGAACTCCCAATCAAAGCATCCCCGACAGATGGCCATCCAGCCTCTGCTTAAAGACCTCCAAGGAAGGAGACTCCACTACTCCACTATGTCTCTCCTCTCGTCGCAGGCCTTCCCACGCTTTCTCCCTCTGCTGCGTTCCCCCTTGTCTTCTTCCGCAACCACCAATGGCAACGCCACGGAAAGGCGTGCGAGCGACCCGAAAACTGCGCCAATGGACAGTGGAGCAAGTGGAGAGTGGGAAATTCCCTGGGTTGGTTTGGGATGATCCCCCGGCCAAGACGATGTTCCGAATCCCATGGAAACACGCCGGGAAGCAGGAGTTCCGGCATGATGAGGATGCTGCGTTTTTCAAGGTACCTTATGCAAATAATAATAATAATAATAATAATAATAATAATAATAATAATAATAATAATGTTTATTTATATATCCTGCCTCTCCCTGTGGATCGAGGCGGGAGTACAAAGGTAAAAATTACAACAAGCTAAAACATAACAATAACAATGATGCATGCAAAAGTTGCTGTGCTAGTTATTGCATATTATTTAGGCTGCATCCGCACTGCAGAAATAATCCGGTTTGATGCCACTTTAACTGACGTGGCCCGATGCTATGAAATTCTGGGAAATTGTTAGTTTAATACTTTTTTAAGGGGAGGGTGGGTTAGGGTAGTGTTGTATTATGGATGTTTTTAAACGTTGTAAGCCGCCCCGATTGCGTTGCAGAGGGGCGGGATAAAAATTATTATTATTATTATTATTATTATTATTTGTTTTGGCACCAGAGCTTTGCATGTGTTATAGTGCATTAAGGGAATAAAGTAGTTTATTTGCGATTGGTATACATTCAGTGTTTAAAAAGAGTCATTCACTTGTGTTGGGTAGTACAATATATAGAGAACAAAATAGGACCAAAAATATAAAAGACAATTAAGATAAGGAGGTGATAAGCAGGAGAAAAATAAAAATGGGGAAAGCGCTTGATACTTTGGGAAATTTGGACAATTAATTGCACTTATTTTGTTTCTTTTTATTAAATACAGAATCGCTTAACGTTTTTGCTTTTCTTTTAATTTTCATTCGTCAGTTAGAAAGTTGAGAAATACATTTTTCCAGACAGTTTACAAAATCATGTATTGCACATTAAATGTATAGAGCGGTGTTAAGTGATTATATTGTAAATGATGTTTGAATGTAACATTTAGTAATACACGGTTTGAAGATCCAACTAGATAACAGGCTTATACCCGATAACAGCCTGAATGTAACAGATAAATGGATTATTATTATTATTATTATTATTATTATTATTATTATTATTATTCATTAATAGATTAAGTTGTTCAATGGATCTTTCAAACCAATACAATAATCAACTACAATGCAATAAAAAATGCTACACACAAAAACACAAAATACAGAATAAAACAGATAATCAGTCATAGTAAAAATATAAAGCGTTAATCTGAAATTCCTAAAAGTTTTAGAAAACAAAAAAGTTTCAATCTGAAGTGGTTCCTCTGAGGAACAAGTTTACTGCTTCAGTCACTGTTAGGAGACTTTAAATGGCATTAATTTCTTTTTCTTTTTTCAGGCTTGGGCCATCTTTAAAGGGAAGTACCGCCCTGGGGAGCAGCTCAACCCTGCTGCTTGGAAGACGCGCATCCGCTGTGCTTTGAGCAAGAGCCCTGAGTTCGAGGAGGTGCCAGAGCGTTCACGCCTGGATAGCACAGAACCCTACAAGGTCTACCGTCTGGTCCCAATGTCCGAGCAGATTATGGGTATGGAAACTAACCTCATTTTAAAATCTTCCTTGAGATTTCTATATTGCCTTCCCTTCAGAAAGACCCTGGAAGAAAAGATGTAGTTTCTTTAGGGCAGAGATGGATAGGCAAACTTTGGAGGGACCCAACATGGATTGCATTGGTCCCCAAATGACAGAATCAGAGGGATCTGCAGAAATAGAGCAGTTTGATACCACTTTAACTGCCATGACCTAATGCTATGGAATCCTGGGATTTGTAGTTTTGTGGAATATTTAGCCTTCCCTGGCAGGATGCTCAGGTGCCCTCCACTAAGCTACAAATCCCACAAGTCCATAGGATGGAGCCATGGCAGATACAGCGGCGTCACATTGGATTATTTCTGCAGTGTGGATGTAGCCAAAGAGAGATAATTCATAGGCATACCTATTTTTCTGAAGGGCGCTCCAGGAAAACTATAAGGGCCAAGGGCCACAAACCATGCCTTGGGGTCTATCTGTGGACACATGAGTTGGATAAATAGACACCAAAGAAGACTCCAGGGAAAAAAAATCTGACCCACAGGATTTGTAGTTTTGTGAAGAATGCTCTGGTGCCCCATCAAACTATAAATCCCAGGATTCCATCACATGGGGCCATGGAAATTAAACTGGTATCAAACTGCTTTATATCTGCAGTGTGGCAGCAGCTGAGGAAAAGAAGAGACAGGATGGCTTTGGGCCTTTCTTTAAAGGAAAGTCATTGTATTCTAGAAACTTCCAAAAGAGGCTTTTTTTTTTTTTCTTTTGGGGAGTGGGTGTCAGCCATCTTGGTGAGGTCCAGAGAGTCCCATGGGTCACAAAATGGCCGCACATGTTGCCCATGGGACACCGTGTTGTACTTTTGTGGTAGGGACTCCTTCTCAAGTATCCACCTTTCCAATATGTGAGATTCTGTCTGCATCTACACTGCAGAATTAAAGCAGTTCGGCACCGCTTTAACTGCCATGGCTCAGTGATATGGAATTCTGGGATCTGTAGTTTTGTGAGATAGTTAGCTTTCTCCTTCAGAGAGCTCTGGTGCCACAACAAACTGCAAATCTCAGGTTTCCGTAGGATGGAGCCATGATGGTTAAAGCGGTGTTAAACTGCATTAATTCTGCAGTGTGGCTGCAGCCCATGACCCCTGCCATCCATCCCCAGTTGGCATGGGTGACGGCTGAGGAAGATGGGAGACATAGTTCAAAAGACCTGGAAGGCACCAAGATGGGGAAAGACTACTCTGTCCTGTTTCCTGAATAAAGTATGCAAGAAATGGATGCTAGTTGGTTTAACTCAGGGGTAGGCAACCTTTCCCCTTTAAGGGCCGAGGGACTTCAGCTCCCAGAAGCCTCAGCCATGTTGGCCAATAGTCCCATGTTGGCCAATAGCTCCTGGGATTCTGGGAACTGAAGTCCCTCGGCCCTTAAAGGGGAAAGGTTGCCTACCCCTGGTTAACTGATTCTTAAGGCTGAATGGTACTCTTTTAGTAAGGAATTTGCTTTTTTTATGGGATGCAGGGTAGCTATTGTGCCTAATATCTCCTTCCTCCATGTTTCTTCCTCCTCCTCAATCTTGTCCTTTCTCAAGGACGTCAGTTGAAAACTGAGAAGGCGAAGAAGGCAAAGCTGGGATGTTCCAAGAAAAATG